CCCCAAAACCCCAAAACCCCAAAACCCCAAAACCCCAAAACCCCAAATTTAGATTTTGAAATTGAACAGAGAATACATTAATTGATAATATTTTTGATAAGGGTTTCTATGGTAAAGAAGATCGGTAAAAATGTAGGAGGATTGCATATATTTAAGATATTAACTTTTCTTTTCTCCCACAGAATCAATTGAGCATATATTTTCCGAAAGCTTTAAATGATCAATTAATTTTTATCTGACCAAAATAAAGAATTCATACAACAAAAAATAGATCAGCAACAATTTTCAACTTCTCCTCTTATCCTATAAGTCAGAATCCTTTGTTTTTCTTTTGATTAAATCTAAGTCCATTGTCATCGCTTCTTCAATATCAAAAGTGTGGTTAGCAACAGAAGGAATAGCTTCACATAGACATTCAAATTCCTCTCTTGTATACTTCTCAAAGAACGCTTTAATTTCTCTATAAATAAGAATTTTATGGAACAAATCTCCGTTTTTAAAGTCATCTATTTTGTCCCATTTAGAATCAATTTTTGAAAGATCTTTTAATTCTAAAGGACATCTTTTTACATTTGTCTCCCAATCATGTCAATGTTGGTAAAACTTCCCATTAGGATCTTTCTTATCAAGATCTTCTTCTTTATTTACCACAGAAATAGCACCATACAGTCTTACATTTTCATGTAATTTTAAGACAGTAATCATCTTTTGTGAATCCAGCCCCACAACCAGGACAATATCTTAAAGTTCCTCTTTTGATAGCTTGGTCCCAATCTCTCTTAATTTCTCTATACTTATATCACTTGTAATGGCGCTCAACATTATTTTTGTGCTCTTCTGATAGATGAGGAGGAGCTCAACGACGTGGATAATACTATAATTGATAGAAACAAATACCTCAAAACCTTGCTTTCAAGTTGTACAGCTTCATTTAATTACACTTGTCATTCTTACAGTAGAAGAAGTAAGGATCTCTATTGAGATTCCAAGGCTCGCAGTAATATCAGAAAGGACACTTCTCAAGTTTCTCTACAGTTGAGTCTATTTTATTTAGATTTATAGTAAAAATTATAGAGAAGCATCTGCTCTGGCGTCATTAGCTTTTCAATCTGAGTAGAATCAACCTCGGAGAATCAAATAAAGCACTTAACAGGTATTTCAACCTCAGGATTTGAAAAAATGGTATTAACTACCGATTCAGATCATTCTTTACATACAAGATGCTGCTCTTTACACTTTATCGCAATATCACCTTTCTTTAACACCTCTGCACAACTCATTCACTCCCTCTCCTCTTCTCCACTGGTCATCTCCATTTTTACAGTTATTTATTTCCACCTTTTCCCCCAAAGTTGGGGTTTTGGGGTTTTGGGGTTTTGGGG